GCACTCATTGGAAATTTGAATAAAAAAATGTTGGAGAAGGAGATAAGAACCGAGAATTGTCGAATCAAGCATGTCTTAATGCTCAAGTGTCGATATTCATGAAATAGAAAAGCAATTCAGATGCACTTCATGCTTCTTTTGAAAGTTCAAAGCCGGAAATTCATTCATTCCACTCCGCCTGATTCCTGTTAGTCACTCAAACGATAGAAAATTGGATTTGGAATTCCCCAAGAATCCCACCTTGTCTAGTCTAGTACCCACTTTTTCAAGTCTATCCGCCACGCTTATCTCCATTTCTTTTACATAACTATTCACATATCAGCGTGGCTTTCACTACTACTATTTTGTAGGAATTCAGAAAATGATATTTTCCTAAGTTCTCCTTACAGCTATATAAAAATCATCTAACCTTATCTGTAATTATCCTCTAATTCTGTTTTACATATCTCTCTCGCAATCATATAGATATAGTACATCATCAAAGCCCATCATTTTATCAATTCAAGTCTTCAACATGCTATGGGCCAGTTTAGAATTTTAGAGCTGGCTTTGCCTCTTTCACATTGCGGCCATTTCCCACCCGAAAATATCTCGTAACTGCCACTATAAAGGGTGATGATGATGTTTCGACATGTGCATTGGACTGGTGGATATTATAGAAAATTAAACAACTCAACAAATAACATCACTGTAATCCAAAAATTCATTTCAGCATATTAGACAGTCACAGTAGTACACGTTACAAATCAATAAATCAGACGAGTCTGAAGGAAGAAGTTTCCATTTTTTGTTTTTTTGGTTTGAAGAAAGAAGTCCAGCTGTTGCGGCTAGAGTTGGAAGTGAGCTGTGGGATTGACCGCTCAGAACAATTGCAAAAGATCACTCTTTTAAGTCGTAATATTCGCTAATCATTCGGAAAAACCTCAATTAGAAACCTATTAATTACCTGATTTCTCGCTACTATTTTCAGTTATTCACGACACAAAAACAAAAGTATTTGTAACTCACTGTCTGTCTTTGACAAACATGACTGCCAGCTGTCTCTTCACTTTGAAGACAAACTGTAAACGACTTGCGCCTAACTCACTCTTCACTCTTCACTCTTCACCAACTATATACCCTCACGTGCTCTCACAGATTTCCCGCGTTAAACTAGAAAAAGAGCTCTTCCTTCTTCTTCTTACACAACCAGGTTATTATCCGTCAAGATCCTTGTCAATTTAACATTTTGCTTAGTTGTTTAAATACATATATATATATATATATATAGGTGGCAAGGTAGAATCTTTGCTTCTTGTCTTGTCTTTATTATTATTATTATTATTATTATTATTATTATTATTGATAGTTATGCTGATTAGCTTACTAAAATTATTTATTGAAAATTGTTATTTTAATTCTTAAAAATGCGATTAGGATTTGGGGTATAGTCCTTGCTGTTTTTTTGTCTCAGTGTCTTTTGCCGGATTACGACTTTGCCCTTCGTTTAACATCCAAAGTATTTCACTTTCTCTTTTGTCTTTAAAAACTAACTAGAAACTCTCCTTCTCTGTTTCTTTGGCTAACATTCGCTTTAAATAGATTCCCGTTTCATTACGTTATTTTTTTTTTCTTTTCTTGTTTGGTTGATGAGAAAAAGGTGAGTAAATTGATTAAAAATATTTATTTTTTCTCTTTTTGTGGTGGAAAATAGGATGGGGGTGGATGGTGCAACTGGAGACGAAGGGGCTAGGAGAAGAGGATGTTCATGCACAAAAGACAATTTTCTCCCCGAGGAGTCGCTTAGGAGCTGGGGTAATTATGTCCGAGCGCTCAGGGAAACTCCGAGCCGGCTCAAGGACCAGGTGCTCACCCGATCACTTGACACAACGGAGCTCCACGAAATCAAGGCTCGGAGTCATCATCAGACGAAGAATAACCTCTCCTGGTGGGACCTCATTTGGTTCGGCATCGGTGCCGTCAGCGGCGCAGGTATTTTCGTTCTTACAGGACTCCAAGCCAAAGAAGTGGCGGGCCCCACTGTGGTTTTGTCGTACGTGATGTCGGGTATCTCGGCCATGCTTTCCGTGTTTTTCTACACTGAGTTCGCTGTTGAAATTCCTGTTGCAGGTAAATGAGAAAAAGCAGTTGTAAAGAATAAATCCTATGGCTCCTCTATTTTGTCATACAATGTAGCAAAATTGACCTGTGACTTTGATAAATTATTAGATAAACTTTTCCAATTGCGGTGGCGCGGTCGTGGACTTCCTACTTTGTCACCCTATGTAATTATCACGGGTCGATATTTAAATTTTGAATTCATGCGATTTTAAGATTCGGATATTTTTTGATCTCACGATTTTATCTTACAAAAAGTACTTCATGAGGCGGAGATGGTGTGAATCTTTTTATATCTCAAGATCTTTCTATTATGTTTGATGTGAGATTTGAGACTCTTTTTTAGGTCCGTGACATTCTTTCGCACCTAATCTCGTGATGTCCTCGTCACGGAGGTTAGCCACCCTACCTACCTCTCTCGATGTGCCGGCGTGGATCGAACGGTATAGGGTTGGCTCTGATACCACTTGTCATAAGTCGAGACTTAAGCTCCGAACTCACGCGACTCCGGAACCCGGATATTCACCTTTTCGGCGTCTCAGATCAGCTTGACTATCACAATTCACACCCTTATGAGGTATTGTCCGCTCTGGCCTCCTGATCTCACGGTTTTATCCTACAAAAGGCGTCTCACAATACGGAAGTGACGTGAATTTTTTTATATCCCAGGAACCCTCTTATTATGTTCGATGTGAAATTCGAGATTCTTTATTATGTCTCAGGAATAATCACCACCCTAATAATTTCCGCATCATAGTCCACAGCATGCCCGAGGACTATGGCCATCTTGATCCTATTGCCGTTGTTGTTGTGTCCATCATCTGCGTCCTTGCTGTCCTTAGCACCAAGGGCTCATCACGCTTCAATTATATTGCTTCCATCATCCATGTTCTCGTTATTCTCCTCATAATCGTTGCTGGCTTTTCAAAAGCGGACACCAAGAACTACAGCAATTTTGCTCCCTTTGGTATTCGTGGTATTTTCAAGTCCTCTGCTGTGCTTTTTTTTGCATATGTTGGTTTTGATGCTGTTTCAACAATGGCCGAAGAAACTAAAAACCCTGCTCGTGATATCCCTTTGGGTCTTGTTGGCTCGATGGCAATAACCACGGCTGCATACTGTTTGCTTGCGGTAGCATTGTGCCTAATGCAACCATTCCAGCAAATTGATGGGGATGCCCCATTTTCAGTAGCATTTGAAGCTGTAGGGTGGTCATGGGCTAAGTACATTGTCGCTGCTGGTGCATTGAAAGGCATGACAACTGTTTTGCTCGTCGGTGCTGTTGGTCAAGCACGATATCTCACACATATTGCACGAACCCACATGATGCCACCGTGCCTAGCACAAGTCCATCCAAAGACTGGGACGCCAATTAATGCTACTATTGTCATGCTTGCTGCAACAGCAATTATCGCCTTCTTTACAAATCTTGGAATTCTTGCTAATCTTCTATCAATATCAACATTATTCATCTTCATGCTTGTGGCTCTTGCTCTTCTTGTTCGCCGTTATTATGTCAGTGGTGAGACAACTACAGCAGACCGTAACAAACTAATCGCTTGCATTGTGCTTATTCTAGGGTCTTCAATTGCGACAACTACTTACTGGGGTCTAAGTGACGAAAATGATTGGATCTCTTACGTGATTACAGTGCCAATTTGGTTCTTAGCTACTCTGGGACTTCGTATTTTTGTTCCACATGCTAGGAATCCAAAACTATGGGATGTACCATTGGTACCATGGTTGCCATCGGCTTCCATTGCTATAAACACTTTCCTGCTGGGTTCAATAGACGGGAAATCTTTTGTAAGGTTTGGTATATGGACTGTTGTGCTATTGTTCTACTACTTCTTCTTAGGATTACATGCATCGTACGATACAGCAAAGGAATCAGAAGAAAATAAGATTGGAGATGGGTGGAAGAAAGTTGAAGAAGGTGTTGCCTCTTCAGAGGCCAAGTGATCTGCCTTAGATCTTACAAATGGCAGCAGCTAGCCACAAAAAATTCTACTATGTAAGACTCAAGTGTTATTTTGTTGTGAGTATCTGGGATCAATGTGTGTTTAGTAGGGATCTTATTCTACTGTCTATATTTTGGAATTTCTCAGTCGAGGAGAAAAGTGTTTGTTTATACAAAAGTGTTTGTTTATGTAGGTAACTTCAATAGTTTAATCATCAGTGTGAATTTCCTTTTTGGTGAAACGGCGTGAATATCTTTTCTTTTTTTTTTTTTTTTCATTTCTCTATCGAATAGAACAACTCAGATGATGAAACCAGCAGCTGTACAAGAAAGCTACTTGATTGGAATTGTTTTCATGTATCTATCAAATGCTTATTGGATGATTGGGGGCCTACTCTTTAATTCCCAACAAATATCTTCAAATTTGATGTCAATGGAAAATTATAATGAAAAAGCTAGAAAGTTTGTTGGCTTCACTCTTTAAAAAAAAAAAAAAAAAATCTTGCGGAATTCTCCTGGGAATTGTGCAGACAACTAGGTTGTCGCTGAACTTTCATCATGTGAATTATGGACCCACCATTAATGTTGCATGTTTATTGACCAGCATTTGATTCTTAAAGCTGAAAAAAATTTAAAACGTAAAAACTTTTTTTTTTCAGAAATTTAATATGGTGAAAAGAAACGCACATCAATAGAAAACAAGGAACATAATCTCACCTCAAACTTTACAGATCCAAGATCAAGCTTCTGTTTCACTTCTTTATAAACATTAGGCTCGGCAATTTAGACAATGCCCAAATAAACAAAAGCATAGACAATTAGAAGCATAAAATACATTAAATTTGAAGAACAATATGTACAACGGTTCAAAGCACCTTCACCATGTTCAAGTTGGCCTTCTGATGTTATTTAATATAGACATCTAATTACTAAGAATGGAAGTATGAAAAATTATCTGTGCTTTTAAAAATTTCATTTGCCATGAAGCAAGCCAATCAATTGTCTATTAAGTCATATAGCAGGATGCATATTGTTCACAATCTAACATAAATTTTCCACGATCTCACAGCTGTAATGTCACTGAACCCATTTAATTCAGAAAAAAAAAAAATAGAGGCTCAAGAATGCAACCCCAAAACAGTTGGTATTATGCTTCATAAACTAAAATCAAATTTAAAAACTAACGTAGGGTTGATTTGATTATGTTTCCCCGTATTGCTGATATTGACACTAATTTAGGAGGTTATCATAACTCTCTCCATCAAAAATAAAAAGTTTCCTACTAAGATTTTTGTTTCAACTCTAGAAACGAGTAAAAATAGACTCATTCTGGCATTCAATGATTGGAAATTTCAACCACCCAAGCATGTCAATATCTAAAATCTTTAGCAGACCCTAGGATTTGGCATACCTGGTATGGAGATAAGATTAGGACTGGACTGCCCACCATTGACCTACGCCACAGAATTTTTAATTTTTCCTTCTTCTCCTCCAGTATAAGAGCCACATACAGCATATAAATTGGTGAGACAGCCCCACCCGCCCGTCTCTAGCTTATCAATTCGAGGAATCCCTGAAGGTAGAAAGACCTTCGGTATCAAATGAAAGAAGAGATGAAAAGAAAAAAATCAATAAATGATTCTTAATATGTAAAACAACACACTAATAATTCTTAGAAACTATGTCATTTGATATCTTCAATCTTTAATAATGCATTTAAAAAACAAAATTAAATTAAATCAAGCTGAAGAACAATATATACACGGATTTTTCCCAGATCCCTGCTTTAACAAAATCTGTAAACTTGTACTGAGGCTCACCTTTGGCACCTTCTTCTGTTACTGACGTATACATAAAGACCAAACTGCTGTCAACGTCATCTATGGTCAATTGATATTGTTCATCCTCCGCTCCAGCAATTACCGATGAGCTGCTGTTACATCTTCTCCTTAACCAGCTGAAAAATGCATACGTATTTGCTGAATCTGAGGGGGAGAAAGAGTTAGAAAGAGAGAAAAGTCGAAAGAAAAACGAAAAAGCAAAAGGGGAAAGAAAGAGAATGAGTAGGGTCTTACCTGAACGCAGAGCAATGTAGATCTGATGAAGAGAATTCCAAATTACCGTTACTTCTAGGGTTCTTAGATTTTTCCAAATTACCATTACTTCTGGAGTTCTTAGATTTTAGCAGAAATAATAACAGATTAGTCGAAGGATGCAATTCAGTCTCTAACACTAACCAATGACAGATATAGTGCTGGATCGGATCAAAATAGAGGTCAAGAAATGGTTGGTCCAGGGGCGGGTTGGATGATGAGACACACAGTATCAGCAAGAAGGACAAAAGGCTCACCATCAGTTAGCTGCTGGAAACAGTATCAGGAAATATGAGAGTGAAAGTAAGGATGAAGCACCCCAGAGGTCAAGGCATGGGAAAGGGAAGAAGAAATGAAGAAGCTTAGGAGGAGATGTTGCCTCTGGTTCTGACCACTAGATGCGGATGGCTCTGACGTTGTTAGTGATGCTGCCATCAGTTGAAACCTACTCACTGTTGATAGTTTAAAATGTAGTGCACTATATTCTATATTAGTGAATAAAATTAATTATATTTTAAATAATTATATTTAAATAAAAATAATTGTTATATGGTAAATTGTCATAATTATTTAAAAATAAATAGATTATTATTCATAAAGGTTATGATTATATAAAAAGTCATAACTATCTAAATAAAAGTTTATATCTATTCATTCATTATAAATAAATTTTTTAGTATAATCATTTTCATTGCTTTTAATTAAAGAGTTTGAGGTTTTTTGTATCTCAAAGACATAATTGCCTTAAAAAAAGTGTTCTTTATGCCTCAAAGCCAAAATTCTTTTTTATTATTTTTCTTTTCTTATTTATTTTTTTCTAACAATTTAAAGGTAATTATGAAAAATTTATATTTTGTATGAGGAAGATATAAAGAAAAGAAATTGGCATGATTTTGAGATCAATATTAGAGGAGGCTCAAGTGTCAAAAGATTAATGTTTCTATGGATCAAAATATTAATTTTTATAAAAATCTTTATTAGAGGTATGTATTTTATTTTTTGCATAATTATTGGTAAAAAGATTGACCGAATGAAATAAACACATTAACAATTTATTTCATTAGCATGTAAAATCAAAACACAATATGTAAAATATTGATTACATATTGCGTAAGTTTATTCATATGCTGAAATTGACTCCATAATTGAGTTTAATAAATTGTATTGTATTTATTTGACAAATCAATGCTTATAAAGACTATGATGGGAAATAGCCTAAAAACATAAAAGAGAAAGACATGAATTGATTTATAACCAAAATAATTATCACTTGTTATCAAGTAACAAATTAAATTAGATTATAATAGAATGGTTGATTTTTTAATTGTCACGTCTTGATTATATATAGAACATGTAAATTGTCTCATAGTTTCTATGAAAACAAATAGAAATGGGTAAAAGAATTTACCATGAGAAATTAGATGCAAGTAAAGAATATATACAAAAAATAAAATTTTGCTAAAAGATTAGTTTTATTATTAAATCATGACACCAAAATTAAGATAATAAGTTGAGTCAAGCTATTTGTATAATTCTATATTCGATAATCATTTATAAATCAAATGTTGATATATACTAGAATTTATTACTGGTTCAAATTTTTTACTAGTGTTTAATTTTCATGAAACCCAATTAAAGTTAAATTGATATACGTGAATAATTATTATTAATATATGATTATTAATTGGTGAATAATAAACTAAATAATGATTGTTATCAGAAATATAGGTAGTGTGACATGTATTTTACTTAGTAGGTGTATTACATTAGAAGTGATTTTACAAAATAAAATTTTATTATGAAATATCACAAAGTAAAAATCATAAAAAGCCGTTAAAGAGTGAATCAATGGTTACCCAAAAAAAAAAAAAAGCATTGTTGCTTTTTGCATATGGGATATTGATTAAACAAAAAGGCATACCATTAAAAAATATTGAAACATTTGTCAATTACTAGCATTTTGAAAGATGTACACCAATGTCTAATTAGGCATGTTTATAAATTAGAAAAGAACATACAAATTCAATGTTCTAAAGACACCAATACATGCATGTGTTTAATTCTATTTTCTGTTGGCATGGTAAACATTAGTATAGTTTGTCATATATTATTAAAATAAACTGAATCAGATGAAATTTTCTTTCTTATAGATATAAAAAATATATGGACTATAAAGATAAAATACCATCATCCAATCAATACATTATTTATTAAATACAATAAAGGTATTTTTGCTTCTTGTACAAAAAAAAAGGCCTTTTGCAAGCTATTAAAATAAAATGTGAATAAGTTTTTGAGGTTTTTAATAGTTTCATGACAATGACAAAGATGTTACTGATTATATACCATATTAACATATAGGCTTAGATAATAATATTGGTTTGTAAAAGCTGTAAGCCATAGAGTTAGCCAATCAATGATTTAAACAATGTAAATTCATCGTGGATTTTTGCATGAAATATGAGTAGAACTTATATTATAATTATTGTTTATACTATTTTATGAAAATGATTTTTTGGATTCATATTTCATGACTTGCATTGATATGGTGATCTGGATATGAAGATATTGGTCAAAAAATGATTGTGAAAGTATTTAAAATTGAAGTTAAATATACTATAAACTCTTATTGTATGTAGGCATATTGATCCCATGAGTAAAGTTTGAATTTATTATATATCTGAAAATAATTTGGCCAATTAAAAGTGATAAATAACAGAGATATATGGCTTACACAATGGTGGAGAAATAAAGTTTTTAAAAAATTTTAAAATCAAGTTTAGATGTTTCAATAATCATGAATTGGGAATTGGCCATTGGGCAAATACTATATGTATTGAAAACTCATGATAACATTTGAAATTGTTGATTTTCATTAAAAGTCATCATTATAAATGAAATAATTTTAATAGTCAAATCTACATGATTTGTAGATATGAGGTGGATTATTATGGTTAGCTTAGAATAGCCATAAGCCAAAATTGATGCCACAATCTTAATCACATCGTGGTAATTTTTTGTTATGTATATAGTCTAATTCATGAATTGTACAAATGATTTATCATTTATGATTTTATATAGTGAAAATTTCAAAATATATTTACTTTGGAAGCCATAATTGATTCAAAGATCTTACGAATTTGAAAACTTTTATAATAGTAAAAGGAATGTTATTTGATCCATTTGGGTGATGAAAATGGTTTTGTTCATGGTAATAAAAATTATTAATTGTCTATAATGAAATATATTCGTATAAATATTTGTGAATTGACATAAAAATTTTAAAAAGAGACTATAAAAGCATGATTATATTTGAAATCTATTTATTGATATAAACTCTTATATTGAGTTAACATATAAAAGTTTTAGAACTTTTATTGAAATATTAAGATATTAGCTAATTATCTTTTACTAAAGATGGATTTGGAAGCCTCATACTTAAAAAGAAAAATACCAAATAGTGAAAAGATAAATAAAATGGTAACTTGATTAAGTATATATGATATATTGATAGTTGGATGAGCTATTCTTTAATAAAAGAATGTATACTTGCACATGGTGGGGATGATAAGAATAAAAAAAATAAAAATTACCACCATATTGTTATAAGATTTTAGTATAATTTTATGAGAAAATTATCTAAGCTAATAAGTTTAAACACTTATTAAAGTAAAGTCATAAAAAGATCTTTAACAGTCTTAAAATGACTAAAATTATTTGATTTATTCATTAAATTTATCCAGTTATACTAGAAATATAATTATATTAAAAATGTATAAAATTATGCAAATAGAATGATTAAAATTAATAAATATAGAGTTGTGACCATAACCAAAACCAATTAACTGATAAGAATGAGGCAACAATGTTTAGAGCATACAAATGATATGCAAAATGAAAAGTTTGGATATATTAGCATAAAGTGATTATATTAGAAATTCAATCTCAAGTGAGGGTAATTACCATAAAAAAATTGAATTTCAAAATATTTTGTTAGTAGTACTACAAGTATAGTGGATTTAAACCCTTACTAGTAGGCATCAATAATGATAACCCACCTTTAAATTAGTAACTTCTAATAACAAAGTTTGAGTAAAAATAAATTATTGTTATGTGTCTGTTAAACACCAGTAAAATCTATTCAAATTTTAAAAACTAGTTTGATCTATTGCGTGAGGAGGATGAGTTTTTATACTCTTAATGGAGTTTTAAATGTCTAAAGTAATTGAGACATAATAGAAACTCTACTTATATAAATATAAAAGTGATGCCGCTTTAACAAGAAGAATTGTGGTCTCTTTTATAAATATTTATGAATAGGATAAGCACATGACTATAATAGTGCTAAAAATAGTTATAAATATTTGACAAAAGAATAAATAAGTATTATGTGTGTTATATTTATTACATGATAAATAGTTATTACATGATAAATAGTTATTACATGATAAACAATTATTACATGATAACGGCCTAAGAATTTTGTTAAAGCCATCATTTCCACCCAACTGCAAAACATATTTTGTTAACGGCCTAAGAATAACAACAAATCTTCTGCCTGCTCATAGCTTGTTTCTCCTTTTTCAAATAATTGAAGCATTTATTCAAAAATAAAATCGGTTATCGCAGTAAGAAGGGTATTGAATTTTAAAGATAGCATACAAGAGATGTGAAGTTAGAAATATTTTACCCTATACATGGAGAAGCAGTGCTGCAAGCATCACACCTTCCACTGCCTTTAAACTTGCATATCCTCCTGTTCAAACAAGATGGATTGAAAGTGTCATAACTAGCAAGATTAAAAGAAATATGACATAACTAGCAAGAATAAAAGAACATCATTAAGAAATACACGAATATACAACCTTGACCTTCATTTATGATGAAATCACAGGACAGTTTTGTCAGTTAAAAGGAACGGTTTAGCTCTTGATTCTGACTGCTTGCCTACAAAAAAGCGTAATCTACTTTGCAACTACTGAGACGTGTCCATCTAATTACCATCTATTGAAGCACCAATACCTCTTATTTTCAAAATGGCATGTTCTAATCAGTGGGAATTTCAGTTTACAAGGAAAATGTTTTGAACTCTCACTAACGAATTAAAGTTATTCACTGGTTGACGAAGTCCTGGTCAGTACAATTTCCCCGCTAAGTTTGCCTTTTTAATGAAACAGGAGACTTGTTCCTGAAAGGATTTTCCACCGGCTTACACAACTAACCTGTGCTATCTTGAATTCCTTGGTGTGCCATGATTTGATGATGCACCTCTGACTTAAGAGGGTCAAGTGCTGGTTGTGATATCTCCAGTCCCTCATCTTCAATAATAGACAAATATCTACAAAAGTTTTTTATATGATTTAAGCTCCAAATCAAAATTTCAGTTGTATCAACTGTGTGAAAAAATGAGAGTAAAAATGA